GTATTTCACTATAAATCAAATTTATAAACAATATTTTGCTAAAATCGAATTGCTATATATCAATAGATAATAAATATGCTAAATCATATCCATATTGATTAGTATCAGCAAGAGTAATTAGTATTGATTTATATCTATCTGATTAGTTATCGATATATAACAGTTTATTTTTTTTGCTAATGTGGGCTAATCTTTAATAAGACTATGACTAATTTTAGAAGCAATTAGAAGCTAGAGCCCCCAGTTATCTTTGTTTAATTTTTTTTAGTTAACTAAGAATTTGTTCAAGCATAGTCTTGAGACTTTGATCTATCACTTTGTTAATATTGGTTTGTTTTGCTTTTTTGCTATTGTAGTACTCTGCTATCACATTGTTGTTTTCTTTGTTTATTACTGTTCTTTTTATATTTAATTTATCTATAAGTAGCCTCTAGCCCACTATATATTCTCTTGTTATATAGCTTTCAATTTTATCTTTATAACTAGAGTAGCTTTTTCTTGTTAATTGTATATTACTATGTATATATGTGATCAGGCTGCTCTGTTTGCCAAGTTTATTGCCAAAGGCTTACTTGAGTTTTGTTTGCCTTTTTTTTTGGCTTTATTATCTCCTCATTCTAGCTCTGTGTTGTAGTAATAGACATCTTTTAACATTGTTTTTTCTAAGTTTTCACACATTTTGAAATATATTAATACTATACTTCTCTGATTTTTATTGCTGTTGAAGGATATATAAACTAACTGTGTCTTAACTGCTCTCAATTGCCTCAGCAATAGAATTTTGACTACTATAGATGAGATATTTTTTACAATAGCTTTGTAGTATATTTTTTTCTTTAATATTTCTCTGTCAAATTTGCCAAATATTAGTCTTAATATTTTCTCTTTTTCAAAATAGACTGCCTATGCCTATTTAAGGATATGCATTTTTCTTTTATTTTAAAACTGAACTGTAAATGCTATAGCTTTGTTGTTACTTTAAGGCTTCTACTAAATAAAGTTTATTTTACCAAAAGTAAATACTTTCTTACTCTTGCTACTTGTATTTTAGATAGTATATTTTATAATATATAAACTTCAAATACTATCTTCTTCTCTTTCTGTTCTGTTTTTATATTATTTTCATTTTGTTGCTTTTTAGAATCTGTCTCTTTATCTATCATCACTATATCTCTGTTTTGTAGTATTACAACTGGTTGTTCTGATATTACATCTTCTTCTTTTACATTACTACTATTCAGTATGCTAATATTGCTTATATAGCTTGACTTTTTCTTTTTATTCATCTTTAATATTTTATTTCTTACTATACCAGTTGCATGCTTATTATACTATAAACTTCTAATACTATAATCCATATAGCTATATTTTAATTTTAGCAGGCTTTCAATATCAAAACTTTTAGTTTTATTCTTTTCTTTTTCACTTGATCTTTGTAATTCTGTATTTCTTAACTTTAAATAATTACAATAATCATATGTTTCTATTAGAGTTCTAAACAAACACATTGTTATATAGTGGCTTTATACTACTAAGTTTTACTATAAATTTATTCTTGTCTAATATTCTGTCTGGCCTCATGGGTTTCTAAAACTACTTTTTAGTTCTCAGCTATTATTTTAAATAGATTGCAATACTCTTCTAGCTTCTTGAACCAATTAATCTCTGTTAATATTGTCAGATTATTTGTTTTTTTTTTTTTTTATATATATTAAGGTGACCACTTAGGCCATTGGCATGAGCTTTATTCAGGTAGTTATGATATTACATTTGTTTTATAAAGATACAACTAGCCACATGTGCACCTTTTGTGTGCCTAATTTAAGTAGTCTGCCTGGGTACTACACTAGCTACTATACCTGTAATCTAACTGGGAAATTACCTATTTAAGCTTTCTAGTTATTTCTAACAAGAGTACAACTAGCTATATATACAACTTTTGGTTGCCTATTTAAGTAGTCTGCTCTAGATTCCACACTAGCTGCTGTATCTATAACCCAACTAGAGAGTTACTTATTTAAATCCTCTAGCTATCACTTTTGTAACATGCCCTACTCTAACACTCATATAAGATTAGCTATTGCTATAAATGATCCTAAGACTTTAGCCAAACTATATTGGGGTATTTATCTTTGTAGTAAACCTAACAAGATGGTACATGTCTTACACATGTGCTTACCTGCATGTTCAGTAACTTTTTCCCAATTAGTACATGTTGTATTGCCACCACCGGGTTCATATCTCAAGCTATCCTTTCAGATATTGCTATAACCTGATCCGTATTTCAAGCTACAACCTTTCTAATTAGTTCTTACTTACATACTCCTGCCTTTGCAAGATTCACAACAGTTCTAGTACCCACATTCCAACTGCCTTCTTTTCTGGATTCCTTATCAGTCTCTTCCTTACTTCTAGCCAGCAACCCAGAAGGGTTGGTCTGCCTAGGCTCTAGATGCCTTACAGTCTCTCTCTCTTTAGTATATGCTTCTGGAGCACAAGTCTTTTTCCTCTAGTAGTAGGCCTGCAGTTTAGCTGATATATCACCCTACTTAAAGACCTGGTCGCTCGGTTCTCTAATCTCGGTCTCCAGTTTCAAATTCAGTCTTTCTGTAGCACCGTCAAAAATCACTGCTACTTCTCAACTCGGAACTTGCCAAATGGGTTTTCAGTTATTCTGGTTCCTTGGATTTATTGTACCAAAGCTCCTATTCAAGATGGTGTGACCAAGGTTACAGATTAGAATCCAACCGAAAGTAATAGCTGTTAACCATATCACAGGGCTATTTTTTGAAAATATTATCCGTGGGATTTGAACTCTAGACCTGCCATCTGAAAGTGCGACAACTCCATTATTTCACTAAGTCACCACACCCTTTTGTTAAATTATCTGTTATACTGCCTTAAGTGATATTTTCTAGAATAGTTATATGAGTACTAGTTACATATTCTTTTCTTGTTTGTTTATTTGTTTACACTTGACTTTCTGTATATTTGTTGTTTTGTTTATTTGTATTGTTTGCAGTTATATACTTGTGCTTATGCATCTTGGTATAGTGATTTGCACTATAGGATTAGCTGTATTTCCCAACTTTCTATAATGAAATTTTTCAAAATTTTTTGATAGTAGAATTTTTCTATTAGTTGGTACTAAAATAATCTTCTTGTTTATATGTTCTATCAGACTATAGTGATATTTTTTGTAATTTCTCTTTTTATTTGACAGCTTTGATGATCTGTAATAAAAATACTGCTCAGCACTATAAATATTCTCTTAATAGTGCTTGTACTTTTTGTCGAAAAATTGATTTCTGTAAATAGAAGAGGTCTAAGTTTGTAAAACAAAATTGTTTTATATATAACTATAGCTGATTTTCTTGCTTTTAGTACTTTTCTAGTATTTTTTATAATACTTTTTAATACACTAGTGCTTAATTTCCAGTATTTCTTCTTCTTCAGTTTTGATTATAGTGATTAATAGAAAGAGTTAGTTTTACTTTAAAATTATATAATTTAGTTTGTTTTGTATTAAGTTAAATTAGTTATTATATATATTTAAATTTTAATAAAGTTTAGAATAAAGAAATAAAGTTAAAATTGTAAATTAAAAAAAAAAGAAAAAACCATCTAGTTATATTTAGATATTTAAAATTAATCTATAAATATAATAAATTAATCAAACTCAACAATTTAACCTATTTTTTGTTTGTAAAAACTTATTTTTTGTAATCTTAACTAATAAAAAAATCTGTCTATAATATAGGCTAATAATATAAAGCTAAGTGCTATAAAGATAATAGATTTTATAAAAAAAGTTAAAAAAAAAATACTGTAACAATATATACTTTAGCTTTGTAATAATTGTTAAATAGAATTAATTAATTTGATATTAAAGCAAATTTTATAAATTATTTTTGGCATTTTTTTTTATTGTTTATTAGCATTATAGAATAGGTTTAATTATTTATTTTTTGTATTTTTTATTTTTGTTTTTTTTCTTTCTTTGATTTGTGATACTGTATTATATATTGAAGTTTTTGTCTGGTTTTGTTTGTAATAAGATTATAATTTTAAATTTAAATTATCGAGATTTTATAGTAGACTTTTGCTAATATTAACTTGATTATAAATATAATTATTTTCTATATATTAATTTTTTTTTTATTCGTGATTTGATATTTTTATTAATCTTCGATCAACCAATAAAATTTTATAATATCACGAGATGATCTACAAAAATTGGCCAATCATTATGAAAGCCCGCTATGTTGGAGTGTAATCACGTGATCCACGACCAATCAAAATTTAAAATTTTGACGATCGCTGGCGAAGCAAGGCAAGAAAAACGAAAACTTGAAAAATACAAAAAAACACAGTCTAAAACCTACCTAGGGTAGGTTAAGTGAAAATGCCAGGAAGGCAATTTTGCATATATAACTATCTAAAACCTGTCCTAACCTTAATCTAAGATATCCCTAGCCCTAAAGTTAATTCAATAATATATATATATATATATAAGAATCTAGGCATCCCCGAATTTAGAAATAATCATTAGGCAGTCCAAATCAAATAGAGATACAAAAGAATACGAATAGTATAGTAAAAATAAATTATATATATATAAAATAATATGCTTACTGAAATACACTATAAACACTAAACACTAATTTTCTATTATAAGCTCGCCAAATCATTAGTATGCGGCGCTCTAAATAAAAGTGCTTAACGCCCCCAAAAATCCTAACACTAAGGCCATACAAACTTAATATTTCGGTTTTCATAACATAAAATTTTTAAAAGTGACCCGGCAACCCGGCTTTTAATTTTATTTTCAAAAAATTTTATATATAAAAAACATATAAAATTTTTTTTAGATATTTTTAAAAACTCACCCGGATAGTAAATATACTTAAAATTTTTTTAAAAAATTTGTAAGTTTTACCCCGGCCGGGTTATGAAAACCGAATCAATAAGTTTGTATGGCCTAAATTTTAAGCTTTCCATTATAATTTAAGTTGTAAATTATCATAAATACTTTTAACAATCTGATACATAACATAAGCACCAGGATCAGGAATACCAGAATCCTTGATATCATCATAAGAAATATAGGTTGATCTACCAAATTTGGGCTTTAAAAATTTAGTAGACTCCACACTATCTTTAGCCGAATCTACTGCAGACTTTAAAGCTTTTAAGACACTATCTTCGGAATCCAAATTGCTTGAAAAAGTGTTGATAAACGGAATTAATACATCCATCATTGTACGGTCGCCAATTCTAGCAGGTGTATAATTTTCAAGTGTTGCCAATGCATTCTGGAAAAATAAAATAAAAAAAATTGCATCATTGAAGATATTGAAATTCTTAGGAGAATCGGTGTTATAATTATATATTATCATTAACGATGTAAGTATTTACTGCTCAATCAGGGCAACCAAAGTTCCCAACAATTCAATTCTATAATCTCACAGTAAATAACTTATAAATTTTTGGGTCATTGACACCCACGATAAGCCATATTATTAATGATATGATGATGAGTTAATTAGAGATGCTATTTATTGTGGCAGCTGATAACGAAATTTTGAGCTCTTTTTTAGGACTAGGTTAGGATTTTAGATATTGGTAGGCATATAGATTTAAATGGACCCAAAAATTAGGCATCGGTCAATTTCAGCACACCGGTAAGTCGCTATATGTCGTTAGTGATATATTCCCAGAAATTTAACGCTGGCAAAAATATCAGCAATATGAAGTTAAGTCTGAATATAACGAACCTTTATAACGAACATCATATGAGTGACGCAAAGGGAAAACAGGACATTGGTTTATTTATTTAAATAAACAATAAATGATAAACCAATGTCCATTTCCCTTGGCGTCACTCATATGGAGGTGAGTCAATAGAAATCAACCAACTTTTTTTTATGACAAAAATTTTTTATAACTTTATACAAAGAATAACTCAACAAAAGCTTAACCCATATCGGCGGATTTGCGGAATGGATCTAAATTAGGATCCCTGGATTTAACAATTGCAGAATGCATAATAGCTGAAATTTTTGGGTCAGTTTTACAATTGCATTGTTAAATATATGGATCTTAATTTATGTCAATTCCACAAATTCGCCGATATGCAAATTTAATAAACCATTTTCTAAATAATTTTTACAAATTTGTAGAATTAATTTTTATTAAATTTATTAAGTCTTTGTTAAGTTATCTTGTTTAAAATTTTAAAAAGCTATTCACTCAACCTCATATAATGAACTTTTTACCTCAACTTGTTATTAAGTTCATTATACTGCATAAAGCATCAGAACCGCCGGCTCATTAAATAGAATTTTGACTAATGTCACAAGCTAACAAAGTAATATAATTATAAAGATATAATGAAAAAAAAAAATTCAGACCTTCAATGCTTCTGCCCAGCACTTTGCATTAATGAATTTTTGATTGTCTTCACTAAGCTGATAATTTGTAGCCTGTCTCAAACTATTTGCGAGTGCATATAAAAAGATACTAAAAATATAAACATTTAATCAATGAAAGTAATTAAATATATATATGTTATGTAACAAAATGATTTAATAGTTATAATGTTTATTTACCAAAATAGACAACCGATTGTTCCCCCTTGTTTTTCTAAAATATTGCCAATTTGCACAGATGCTTCAACAGGATCATGCGTAATAATTTGGCATTCTTCCAAAGCTTTTATAATATCTAAAATAAAAAGAAGATCGAAATTAGAAATAATTAGATCACTTTATTAAACATGAAATTTAAACGATAAGTTAACTATATACAGTAATATAACAACCAATTGCGCAGTTCTTAACTGTAGTTCCGCAGTCACCATCTCCAGCAACTGTATCATAATGGGTGATATCAGGTTCAGCCAGAATAATCGCATTACATACAGATTTCAGAGTTGATTCAAAAAGTTTGGGATCTAATATAAATAAATAAAATAGTTTAACAATATTCCAGACAATATTTTAATGTATACACATACAATTACCACAAAGAATAGTCTGGGGAAATTTATCATCAGATTTCTTTATGCTTGAATTGGAAACCTTTTCGTCTAATTTAGTGTCTAAGCTAGAACAATCGAGATGCACTCGATTAATCCAACCTGCAGTTTCCACATGCTGATCCAACATTTGTATTATGTTTTGATCTTCTGGTAACTTGAGTATAGTCAATGAGAAACCTGGCATGTTAAATGATGTCATAAATGTTCCTGTATATAATCTTGAAATATGGAACTTCCTTTGTTCTATTTAATAAAATGACGTATATATTATTAATTGGAGATGTTGCTAAATTGAGAAACATTTGAAGTCACTTATTGTATCGTGTAATGAGATATTGCAAAATTTGACACAAATATAAAAACGCAAACCTAAATATAACGCTGCTTCGTAACTATAGCGGAATAATTCACATGTAGAAAGACCACCAAGATTATTAACAAGTAAAACAATCGAATTTTTCTCCGGATGAATATCTAAATAAGATCTTTCAGGATCATCAATATTTATTATTGTATCTATCATTTTATGAACGAGATCACGGGAAGGCGGAAGTGGAATTTTTTGAAAACCCGGTTCTCCATGGATACCTTTGAAATATAAATAAATGTGAATTGAAATTTCACATAATGTCGTAATTTTTTAATGAATACTACAAACCCATGCCCAACTCAATGATGCCTTTAGGCAATGTAGGACCATGTGATGAACCAGGAATTTTAGAATGATCAAAAGCGACACCAATTGTACCGATATTTTCAGCCACTAAATTAGCTACTGATTTTGTTTCTTCAAGTGTTCCACTAAGAAAAAGAATTGTTGGCAACCAAGCAATTAACAAAGTAACTAAATTTGTCGACATATTAAACACGTTATTATTTTATATTACCCTGCCGCAGCCACAGCTCCTGCAGCCTTATGCACCAAAACTGTCCCTGCCAAACCCCGTCGACCAACAGCACTGTTCCTACCGATGCTAACATCATCACCCACAATGATCATGTCAACCTTAATACCTTCGCTTTTTGCTCGTTCAGCCGCCAAACCAAAGTTTAAGCAGTCACCGGTGTAATTTTTTACGATCAATAATGTACCATGAGGCGATTGAACCCTGCGAATTCCAGCTAGAATTGCGGTCACTGAAGGTGAAGCGAAGACATTTCCAGAGACAGCGGCTGAAAGCATTTGAGACCCAACATATGCTGCCTAAACAAAAATATAAAACAAATAAATAAGTAATTTTATTTATGAACTTAAGAATTATTCACAACTAGAAGTAATGGAATTCCAAAATTACATGTGCAGGTTCATGACCAGCTCCACCTTAATTTTTAAATTAATTTTAATTCAATCGCTTTAATTTAATTGCAAAGTATTATTTGGAAACCTAAATTATTTTACCCCCGGAAATTATGGTGACTTGTTTTTGTCTAATTTCATCAATATCAGCCCTATAGACGACTATAAAAAAAATTTTAATCAACCATTTTAATCAAATTTTAATCAAATTTTATACATAACAAACTTACTTTTTTCCTTCTCAATCAATCTTAAGGAGGGATATGTTAGACAAAGCCCACGAAGTGATTCGATAACGATATTTTCAGACATTTTTTGTCTAAAGTGTAGCAATGAAGATGAAGCATGATTAAAATCCATCTGATGTTGTCGATCCTGAAATTTCATTGGATGTTTAAACATTTTACTGTATCATATATTAAATCATCAATCATATGAAGGTAAATTTTATTAAATTAATTAACAACATAGAGCCCAAGCAAGATCCAAAAGAAGACCTCTTTACAAAATGTGAGTAACTAGAAATGGATGTATATGTATAAAAAGTATGCTCTAAGCACAATAAAAGAAATAAGAAAAGACATGCCTTGAGTCAAGGCATGCCTGTTCACAAAATTCGGATTCACAATTGATTTTGATTATCGCGTGATTTGCCCGCATTGAGAAATCTACAAGATATACGTATAACTACGCGTTTAATAGAAACCAGCAACCAAAAAAGCATCTTTAAAATAATACACTAATTTTAATTATTTACAAACTAAATTGTTTATTAAATAAAAAAAAAATCCACAAATACCGCACCCTAATAACAAAAAAAAAAAAAAAAAGATACTCAAGAAATAAGTATATGAAGTTGCTTAACTTCTCTACTATATATGCAAAATAATTTTTTTCATAATTCCGAAAAATGTCATAGATTACGAAGTTTATGGTAATATGTGTTGCAAAGTGTCTAAAGGAAAAGTTATGTTACAAAAAAAAAGCGACAAATCTATTGCTTTCTTGTGAAAAAAATCTTATATTCTATGATGTTGTAATGATATTAATGATGCAAGAAAAGGAATTATGGAACATTAATGCCTAAATAAAATGAATAATAAAATGACAATATTTTTAGCAATCAAATTACTAATAATTTATTAGGCGTGATCTGTTGTAATTTCCATTTTGCTGTTTTTTAATTAAATCACGATCAGCATTCTCCAAGACTTCAACGATTCCTCGAACAAGCATTATTTTAACCTCATCAATATCATCAGATTTACCCGCCGTTACATATTTATGTTGAGACATATTATTTGCATTCATTTGGGTTACCTCCAATTTTTCGTATATTCGCGTTAAACACTGATCTAAAAGTATTTTTAACTTATTCACCAATGTAAAAGAATTATTTTCACCACTAAATTGTAACCAATCATCGACGATTAAGTTAAAATTATTAGATTGATTGCTTCGAATTTCACCACCAAAGAGTATTGTTGATAAAGGATCAATTCGTGTTGTACTTCTAAGAAATACTTGGTGCCCACTAGCTTTAACCTTGGACGAATATGCATAAAGTGTGCCTATAGGAGCAATTAAATTTTCATCAAATTCACTGCTTTGTTTCAAAATATGACTATTCTTTATAGTTGCTGCTAGTCTTGCTGCTCGTTCTTTATAATTTACAGAAGCTGGATGAATAAAGGTTGCGTTTTCGTGTCTAGTTCGAAATGTTTTCTTTGAAGTCTTTAATGCAATGTTCGGATACACTCCAGCACAAATCAATGCGCGGAGAAGTGGAATACAGTTAGAGTTCAAATTATATTCTGGTGGTCCTAACGCTAAGTCACGACGATTATAATCCCGTTTAGGTACAACTCCAGCACGTTCCAAGAGGCTTAGTAATTGGATTTTGATTTGTTCAATAGTTTGCAGACATGGTTTGCTTAATAGGTTTTCGGTACAAAATTTGTTAGCAGCATGTAAAGAGCCTGACGATTGAAATTCGTACCAAGCATTGTAAACATTTAGAACGGCAAAGTGATCACATGCTAATCCTTTTGACCAATAAAATCTGATCTCATCGGCACGGTCTTTAGCATAAGGAGGGGACAAAAATGGATTCTTTGAAGCCATAGATGCACCAATTGTTAAAATTGGATCTAGACACTGAAATATGGCTCCCAGGAGCACCATCTTACCTAATCCTGGCTCCAAAGGAAGCGTAGCCAACACTTTTCCCAAAGAAGTTAATTCCTCATTATGATCTAATGCTTGTAATGACTTTAAATTATCTAGAGCAGCAAAAACACTAGCTTGATCTGGAGGTTGGATAGCTTGTGAAAGAACATTACTAATTGTTGCTGGAAGACCAAGTGCTTTAATATGTAGGCAAATCTCTTGCAAATCAGATCTCAACATCTCGGGAGTAGAGTAACCTTCAAGACTTTGATATCGAGTACGTGTCATCATCACATAATATTCGCCTTCACGAACACGACCAGCTCTGCCTGAGCGTTGACGAGAGTTAGATTGACTTATCCAGGTAGTAACTAAATTTGTCATTCTTTTTGACTGGTCATATCGTTTTTCTTTGACTTTTCCTGAATCGACCACATAAACAATATCTTGAATGGTTATAGAAGTTTCCGCAATATTAGTTGCTAAAATAATTTTTCTCATGTTCGAATTTGGAAGTGATTCAAATACTCCTTGTTGAGACAATGAAGGAAGAGAAGAATGAAGAAAGTGAATTCGAAATCTTGAATTATTGGAAAAATCAATACCAAGTGGGTATGGTGGAGAAGTGAGAAGCCGATTTAGAGCCATTATTTCTTCCAATCCAGGTAAGAACACTAGGATGGCACCTTCCTTAGAAATATTAACAATGTGCGCAATCGTCAATGCCATCAAGTTATAAGGAATTTCAGCATTTGCTTTCTCAACATCATTATGTTTAGACCCCATCCAATCATTAATTCCATTTGATGATCCGACAGACACGTTATCATCATCAATTTCACTACAAATATTATCTATTTCATTATCAATATCCATTGTGTGACATTTCGTTTGATTGTTCATTTTTTGTGGTAACAATTCAGAACATTTGCGCATTTGAGTAAATTGTATTTCACGGTCAATATACTTTAAAGAGTCCGAATAATCTAATTGTGGTACTTCTGACGGTCCATAATGCTCACGTAATTTTGAAATGAGATCTTCCAAAAAAAATTGGTGTACCGGAAATATTTTACCAGGGACTTCGACAACAGGACACCTTCCAGTTGAAAAGAATTCACCGAAATATTCAGAAAAAATTCCCGTATCGATCGTTGCACTCATAAGAATCAGTTTAATTGGCGGTCGATTATTTAGGAGTCTTTCACGAAGAATTTGCTTCAAAATTACCAATAAAAAGTCTACATTCATATCTCTTTCGTGAACCTCATCTACGACAATATGGGTGACACCTTCCAATGCATCCATTCCATTTTTTTCATCGTGCATTCGTCGAAGAAGTACACCTGTAGTGCAATATAAAATACTTCCAGATGATGCTGGTTCTTTTGCGTCAAATCGGACACGATATCCAACAGTTTGACCAAGTTTCTCCGAACGCTCATAAGCAACCCGTTGAGCCACTGATATAGCAGCAATTCTTCGTGGTTGAGTTACGATAACATTACATCGTGAACCTTGCTGTTGCATAATAGCATCTTCAAAAATCATTTGGGGTAGCTGAGTTGTTTTACCACAGCCTGTTGATCCAACAATAACAATAACAGGATTGTTTTTAATCGCTTTAAGTATTATGCCGGAATAATGAGTAATTGGAAGTTGATTACGACTAAAGCGGATTTTTTCCGTTTGCTTAGAACATAAATAATGTTGATGGTCTTGATAAAGTTCTTTCGATCTAATATTAAGGTTACGAGCTGTGAATTGATCTTTATTTTTATTCCCTCTTTGATTTATTTGATCCTCAAAAGTTTGATCTGATTTTGACTTATTTTCAGAATCAACTGATTTATTATCATCTAAGTGAAGTATGTTGGCATCACATAGATCGTTGACCAATCGATTAAGAGTACGAGAAACTGATTCATTTATTGAAACATTTATTAACGGCAGTGGTTTAATCGAATTTTTATTACTTTTAGTAGTCTTGTCAGTTTCAAACCTCTCCCAAAGATGTGGTGAATCTTTACGTAATGCTATTGCAGCATCCAAATAAGCAGCAGCTTGAGCTTCGCGTTTGCTAGATCCTTTACCTGAACCAATAATTGAATCTTGAACTATCAAAGATGCTTTCCATAACGTCCTGTGACTTGGTCCAATACCATCATAAATAAATTCAGGATTTTTGAATTTAAAGAATCTACAATAAAATCGAATAAAATGTCTAGCAACAACTTCTGACATTGTATTGTTGCTTTCAGTTTTTGTATAAAGTTCATCACCATGAATCGTCTTATATTCTTCAGCATGCTTTTTAAAAGCCTCTGCGGCTTTGATTTCTGCTTCTTTTTTTGTTCGACCACGTCCACGACCTATTAAACCTTGAGAAGGAAATTCAACAACGGCTTCCCATTGTTTCTCATGATCAGGTCCTAAACCAAACACCTCGAAATGTGGAACGTGATCGAATGCTGCACAATATTCAATCACATGTTTCCTATAATCAATTTCTGAACTTTGTTGAGTTGACTGTCGAATAAGATTCTGACGTTGACCGGATGGAGAAGTTAAATGAATCATCAAACCCTGAGCCTCAATCATATAACATGAATCTAAAAAAGCAATCTTTTCAGCATCTTTTTTGGTCTTTGCGTCACCATGACCAATTATTGTGGTACCCGCAATCTCCAATGTGATGGTCGCTCTGTGTAATTTATTATCATCAGGACCAAATGACTCCCATGTAATAGGATTTTTAATGATACCACAAAGAAAATTTTTTGGATATTTTAACCAAGATTCATTTTCTTTTTTCGAATTAACATCTACCGTATTATATGTTGAATTGATATAATCCATATCATATAATACTTTTGGTAAAGGTTTTGTAGATTTTTCAATTTTAGCATTAGAATTTTGTTTTGATCCTCGAGTAAGGGGTGCATTTTGTTGATTAGGCACGGACTTACGATTCTTATTTTTAGAAAATTGATCCGACAATGATGGAGATACATAATTAGATTGTGCGTAAACAATATTCTCACCATTTGGTGATTTTTGTAACATTTGACTGCTTGCACGTTGTCTATTTTTTGAGATAGGATCTGCTGGTGGCATAGGAGACAAGGGTCGTTTCTTCGTAGTTGACTGATTATTAGAGATATTAGTCATTGGTTGAATTGACCGATTTATTCCGAGAAAAGGCATTGACATAGTTTGGAAAAATCTTTTATCTTCTCGGTTGTCCGAGTTAGTTCTAGATGACTGCGAATTAACAGAATGAACATTTTTATCCCGCGATCCACTAGGACGATTGTGTTGATTATCAGTATCTCTGTATTGATTACTATATGATCTATGTTGACCGTTTGAAAAAGGAATCGAAAACTGTGAAGAACGATGTGATGATTTAACAGGTTCACCTAAACCATGTTCGGGTTGAGTGATAAAAGCGGAAGAACCATTATCTTCGAAATTATTTAAGATATTATGACCCATTGTATTCGAAGAACACTGATGGTAAGACAAAGGACGACGTTTGATAGCAGTAGCATTTGGAAGATACTGAGGTTGTAGTTTGCTAGATAAATCTCGGGCACCTTTCCAGTCGTCTTCAAGTTTTCTGGATAAATGAAGAGTTTGTTGATAGGTATTCATATCGTTATTCTCTTCAAAAGCTTCGTAATTTTTAGAGCCGACTAGATCTCTGTTGATATGCTTATAATGAGTATTTGTTGAACTTTCACTTTCCATTGCTTTTTTAAAAAGTTGCTTTTTTGTTGAGCCTTTAATCATATCAACTCCAGATAAGGCAAAAAAAAAATTAAGAACTCATTTCGAAATAATAAAATGAGAGTAAAAGTAGGCGAAAAATAAAGAAAAGAAAAATATATATATTTCGATATTCCTGTTTCGCTTATTAAGCGGAAGGAAGACGAAAAAAAAGAGATGATAAGACCGGTTTGTGTTTTGTTTGATCATAACAAATATTATTTAATAAATGTTCATTTGTTCAATTTTATTGCATATGTATCATACAGTCATATGTACATATGTGCGTACATGAATTCGGGGATCGACCGTTAGTTATGACTCACTTGACTCACTCACATGAATATTAAGATTAGATAATCAAAGTCTGTATCAATTAGTATTCTAACTGAGTGACCCCGGCCCAGCTTACCAATCAGATCGAAGATAGTGTAACAACTATTACAACTATAACAAAAAATTTTTGTTATTGTAAAACCCATAAAAATTTTCATCTTTCCGGAATCTGATTCATGAATCCATGTCGCGACTTCGCGACTTTTAACATTGCCCTAAATTTATGACAATATATGATAGAGTCAAAAACATTTGATATGTTAATGTGTAGAAGATCGGTTTTAAAAACAAATTTGATAGCGATAAAGAGATGGGGAGATGAGTTTTATAATTATATTAGTTTTATGGGTTCAGTTAATTACAAGCAATAAGTAATGTGATAGTTAAAGCTTTATATGGAGATTTACAATAAACATCTATACGTTATTTCGGAACACATAGTTTGAAGAGGGCTAATAATCGTCTGGGATCATAATGAAATCGGATTAAAATGAAATAAGGGTTTCTCTAAAACCCACTTATACTTGTTTATTATAAACTCTACTAAAAAATGCACCTCAAAAATTTTTTTTTTTCAGTGGCATGTCTATTTTTTACATTGTATAATATTTCATTTCATTTTAATCTGCCACAATAATTATAGCTGTTCCCATAAGCTCCGAGACAACTGATAAAAATTGGATTTGATAGGTTTTTTGAATTTAGTGTTATTATTACCATTACTGTTAATATGGTATTTTAAAGACATTTTCATCGCCATATAGTTGAAATAAAGTTTGAAAAGCTTGTCAGTTCGAGTATTAACTAAGATTTTACTGTAGTAAGTTTTCTGTATATTGATGAACGTAGAGATTAAGCCCGGATAAGGCTTCCCGGGTAACCCGTATAAGCATTCCTTAACCGGGTCATGGTTATGCAACCCGGACGGATAGAAACAAATATATTTCACGCGATGAATATACAACATCGTTGGACGAATACGAAAAAAATTCATGGCCCACCAGGAACATGGAATTTATGCGATAAGAAATTGTTAACTATGCATACGTTATATTAAAATATGCGATTTGCCAAATTAAAAAAAAACTCTTTCCAGTTCACAACCAGTAAAACAAAAAACAAAAATTTTACTAGGAAAAACACCAGCACCCTCTACAAACTCTGACGGGGCGGAAGCCCTCAATATCAAGAAACGCAAACTAGAAACCGCAACCATGAGCAAGTTGTATGCAAACAAGAAAACTAAGCTGGACTCAGACAAAAACAAAATTTTTTCCTTCCAGGAAACAAAAAACTTTAGCAATGAAGGCAACAAAACAAAGACCAATACAACCTCTATGGTAGAGCCTGTAGTTAACAAGTTTACAAGTTTTGAACTAGAGGACAGCACTGCAAGTTGGGCAAACCAAGTGGAAAATGAGCAAAAATATCAAACAGAAACTCTCAAAACTCCTTTGACCTCAAGAAAAACACATAACAACAATGAAAACTTGGAAAATAATAAGCATACAAAAGACACAGGCAAATGATGAAAACAACAAACAGGCACCTGATAACAAGCATGTGTCTGACAACAAACATATGCCAAAGGACAACCAACCAGGGCCCTTCTCTGCAAGCACCCCAAATGACACACTAACTTCAAACAATTTACAGGTCTCAAAAGGGAAACAAAACAATGAAGACAACCAACACAGTGGGTAGACCTCTTTTTCAAATTGAAGAGAGGAAAAGCAATCTTCTCGAACTCCTCTTCAAGACAAAAAATACATTTCAAGAATGAGAATGCTTTGATCCTAGACATTTATAACCTAATCAATATACCAACAAATAATATAATTACAGCTCTAGCTATGAGCATTGGAAAAGACTTGCTAGTAGCCAAAACTCATATGTCTAGAGAGAAAAGATCAGCCCTTGAGGTGGTTCTCAAAAGCAAAGAAAAAGTTTAACTATATGCAGCAAAAAGCATCACGGTATTCAAACAAACACTCTTTGACCATATTCTAGTCAACTTAAAATGCATATTCCTTATAGTAAAACTAAGAAACACTCTAATGGAAGATACAACAAATAAGCAATCTTATTCTAGATACCTTCCAAGACCTAGGCCAAGTAGCCTCAATCAAATCACTACTCTTTGAAAGAACTACCGTCTGCTCAGATTAATAGCTAATTATTTTCAAAACTATTGATGATCTAGATTTAACCAAAAGAATTCCAAGAACTACACATTTTGAAGATCATAAAGTAACTACAGAATGGAAAGAAGCTTTAAAAATTTGCTATTACTGTAAAAAGGAAGGTTATATTAAAAAAGACTGCAAAGAGTTAAAGGCCTCTATAGAGGCAAGAGTCATGCTAAAGATAGCCAAACTACATTGAAAAAAGGTCAAGAACCAGAAATTAGCTGCTCCAGAACCTATTATCAGTCAAAACAACCTTTATCTTGACTGCTTAGCAGAGTGGGCCTAAGTAGAAAGATCTTTTGACTCTACTCCTGAACCAACAACAGACAATTCATCTCAAAACAAGGAAGAAATCACACAAGAGCCATTATCTGCAAACAATACAATAGCAGAACAATGCTCTAAAATAGAAACAGAACCACTCAATACTCAGGACCAGGCTAATACAAAATAACAAGCCAAAGAGAATACTCCTTTCATTTTGGTTATCTCTAAAAAACAAAGAGCAAAAAACAAGAAAAAAAACCAATTAAAAGCATATCACCTATACAGAGAGACAGATATTGGACAACAGAGCAACCCTGTTCCAAAAAATTATCAATATGACAAATCTTTTAGTATAGCCTTACCCTCAAACAAACCTTAATCAATGATTAAAATTACTACACTAAATGTCAAAGGCCTAAATAATAGGTCCAAAGCTTAAAAAACTCTCACATTACTTAAATCTTACAAATTGATATAATAATTCCACAAGAAACCAACCTTAAAGATTTCAAAACAAGAAGGTTCCTATCTAAGCAATGGGGTTATGATTCTTTATGGTCTGCAAGAATGGCCATATTAGCTGGCAAAAAAAATATTAAGCTCCTCGATACACAAGAGTCACATGATGGTAGAGTGATTTCAACTAATACAATCATCAGATAGCAAGCTTTTTACATTACAAATATATACATACCACCAAACCCAGCAAACAGAGTTGAATTCTTCAAAAGCTAGACCTCTATAGCTGACTAAAACAGAATAAATATTATAGCAGGTGATTTCAATACAAACTTGAATCCTGAAGTAAACAGAATAAGTCAAGCAACAACACAACAAGACCTATCAAGAGGTCTGATTTCAGAACTACTGCAAGATTACACAGATATGGCCATTATGTCATCCAAAAAACTCTTTCTTACCTTTTATCAATCTACAAGAGGAAATTAAAAAATGGCTACCTGCCTAGACTATATATTTATCGATGCAGACTATAGTCACATGTGCAACAACACTTGTACTTGCTTTGGCAACTCAGACCATTTACTAGTTGAAAGTGAGTTATGTCTAAAACCAAGCCACAGCTACATGTTACTCTGGAGATTTGACAAGACAACCCAGATTTTAAAAAAGATGTTATTCAGGAAATACAAAATATCTAAAATCTCTCTCTTTGAGACTTTTACAAATACACTATTTAATTGATAATAAAAGCTTTTAAACCCCTATCCAGCCCTAGAAAAAACAATTCAAAAAATCCATAGAAAGCTTTGTAGTCTGAACAACAAAATAGCCAAAAACCCAAATCTGGAGGAGCTAAAACTTGTAACTGAAGATCTAAATTTAAAATTACAAAAAGAACTAAGCTTTTTATCTAGGAAGTGGCAGCTGAGATCAAATGCCAAATCGATTAAAGAAGGTAAAAAATACACTAAATACTTCTTTGACTTATACAAATCAAGATACTCGATAACAGGCTGCTTCAAAATATACAACCCAAATAACCCCAATAACAACTCACAGGAGCAAACTATAGACTATATATGCAACACATATCAAAATATTTACAAGAAAGAAGAGATTAACAGAGGCATAGCTTCTCAACTCATTAAAAACCTCGAACAGGTTATAGCAGATCAAAACACTTTTCTAACCTCTACAATAGATGAGGAAAAAGTCAAACTGACAATTGAAAGTCTTCCTAACAACAAGTCACTAGAAACAGATGATCTTATATACAAATTCTATAAAGATACTAAAGAAATTATAGTACCGGTGCTAACCAAACTGTTCAACTATATCCTAAACTCAGGTTAGATTCCAGACTCCTCGAGCAAAAGCCTTATTATCCTTATATCTAAAAAGGCAGACAATCTCTCTAGCATAAACAATTGGAGACTAATATCTCTAGTAAACTCTGATACAAAAATCTTTATAAAGATTTTAGCTACCCGAGTCAACCCAATCTGTAACAGCATTATTGGACCAGCCTAACAAGCATTCATCTTAGGAAGATCAATCACAGACATAGCACTAGACATTATTACAATGCTTAGAAACCAAGATGATCATACCAAACAGCACTAGATCTTTCTACTTGACCAGCAAAAGGCATTTAACTACATCAGTCATGACTTTATACAAATGATACTCGAGAAAATGAATTTTGATCTAAAATTTATCAAGATTGTCAAAGCCCTATTTTCTACACAAAGTGCTTATATCATGGACTCGAGATATATCTCAGAAGCTTTTAAAGTAGACAGAGGAGTTAGGCAAGGAGATCCTCTATCATCTCTACTATATATCTTAGCAATCAACCCTCTTATATAGACAATAAGCAACAACATTAGGGGCATACCAGTGTATAGTATTCCTTTTAAAATTGCAGTATATGTAGATAATTTAACAATAGAAATTGGCTCACCCTCAGACTGAAACAAGATAAATAAAATCCTTCTGAACTATAAACAGGCTTCAAATACCAAAATCAACAAAACCAAATCTTTCCTTTTCCCTCTTACAGAAAATACTTGAAGAGTAAAATTATCAGAACAAGAAAACTTTAATATCATATACAATAGCCAGGTCTTATTCATAGTTCTTGGATACAAGATAGATGTAAATGGAAATCCAGACAAGGTTCTATAAACTGATGTAATAAAAATAATTAAGAACAAAATACAAGATCTAGCACAAAAAAACCTCCCACTTAAAGGAAAAATTCTTATCACAAAAATATTACTAATCTCAAAAATCTGGTATCTAGCCTACTTACTTCCTCTAACAAGAAAACAATTAAACAAAATTAATACACTGATTACAAAGTGGATCAAGAATAACTCTAGAATACTATCTTAACTCTTAGTCTTCTAACGCAGCTATAAGCTAGGAGGCCTAGCAGCACTAGTACTCAAGGACATATTAGATGCTAGACTGCTCTCAGTATGGCTTAAACTTCTCTCTAGTAACACCTTCTGGGTAATAGCCGAAAGAAACATCTCAGAACAAGAACTTACTAGAAAAAGAGGTATTCAGATCTTAGCCACCCTCTTACAATCACTATGTAAAACTAAGGGCTGGCCAGACAAATAAAAACTCTATATCACTGCCTGGGCCAGGTTCAAGAGTAGAGTTAATTCAAATAATAATTGGCCCTGGAAGCTTAACAAGATTAGCATCCAAAAGATGGAAAGACAACAATTTAGTATCAAGAAGACAATCCAAAATCTCTATAACCCTCCTAACCAAACAAGTAGTACAAATAATATATCTCAAAAACCAACTGGTTTTGAATAGCTAAAATCTAAATGGCTCCTAAACAAGAAGAAGGATATTTTCTGGCATCTTGCCCATAGGCCCTCCCTCTAGGCTACTATTTAGTACATGTCAGTTACAATGCTATAAGAGACTATCTCCACTGCCCACATGTAACTCAAACAATAGAACACTTCATACTTAAATGCCCAATTAGCAAGAAAATATAGAAGATAGCCTATAACTCACTAATAACCTCAAGTGAGAAAAAGTCACCTACCTGCATAGAAGAGATCTTTCAAATAAACAATATTAAAAATATTAAAAAATGAGAAGCAGCCACCTAGCTACATATTAATGTAGTATATAAAATCTAGTATTGATACACTCAAGCCAGATGGGTAATAATTTACTAGCTTCAGAAGTAGTTACAAGAATAGTCAATACAAAACTCAAATTCGAAATCAAGCTGCTACATAGAATAGCAAACAATAAGGTCTTTCTGGAAACCAAAGGACCAACCAATATTCTTAAATTTCTAATCTCCTAATCCAAATCTTGTATATTTCAAATTTAATAATTATATAAACAAATAAAGCATGCTTAGATGCGTTTTTTTTTTTTAAAAAAAAAAAAAATATGTGATTTGCTAATAATTTAAAATTGCAACTTAATATTTTTTTTTATTTAAGCAAAAAAAAAAAAAAGAAATATAAAAAAAAAAATTGCAATTTTTTATTTATTAATTTTATTTACTAAATAATAAAACTGATTCATTTATAATTTATTTATTATAGTGTTTTGCAAATATATTAAAT